TAAGGTCCCTTCCGACCCTAGAAACTATGAAACTATGACATAAGCATCTTACCAAGTTACAATCTGAAGACTATCTGTCAGTGTGAAAGGGGGATGATATTTCCTCAAGAAACAAGTCATATACTTGTATAATACTTTATTCTAAGCCTGCACAAATTAATGTTAATTTGAGTCCACAAGTGTATGGATTTCTACTAGGGTTCCGTGAGATTTCACCAGGTGTTTCATTTTGAAGCTGTTTTTACATGTTTCAAGCTTGAAACAGCAAAATCAAAATGAAACAAAAGTCTTCAAAACAGCTTCGAAACAAAACGAGGGCACTTGAAACAGTTTGAAAATTTCAAAACGTTTCGAGTTTTGAAGCCGGGCTTACTTGGTTCAGCATTGGTCCCAGGAGGCAGTGGCAGCCTCCCTTCATCCGGTGCAGAGATCTGGGGGCTCGTGCCTCCAGGAGGAGTCTGGCACAGCTCGGCAACCCTCCCAGGAGTGCAAGCCCCCAGATCTTTGTGTCGGATGAGGGGAGGCTGCTGCTGCTGCCTGGGACAGGCGACAGGAGCAGTTTTCTCCAGTGCTAGGTGCAGCCTGCGCCCAGTGCTGGCCCCAGGCAACAAGGCAGCTTCCTCTCATCTGGGGCGCTGATCTGGAGGCTCACACCCCCAGGAGGGCTGCTGAGCTGTGCCAAACTCCTCCTGGGGGTGCAAGCCCCCAGATATGCACGCCAGATGAGAGGAGGTAGCAATTTTCTCCAGTGTTGGGCACAGCCCACGCCCAGTGCTGGTCCCGGGGCAACAGGGCAGCCTCCTCTTATCTGGGGCGCAGACCCGGGGGCTCGCACCCCTGGGAGGGCTGCAGGGCTGTGATGGACTCCTGCGAGCCCCTGGATCTGCACATCACATGAGAGGAGGCTGCCGCTGCTAGCAAGTGTCTGAGTTGTGTTTTGAACAGTTTGAGGTGCAGTTTCCTGAAACCCCTGCACCTATCTCCTTGAAACTTGTCAAGCTTCATGCCCTCATACCATCCCTGTGATTTTCATCCAAATCAGGCAAGAAATGACAAAGTTTTAAGCATTGTCATTATTGCCCATTATAGACTACGGACAAAATGTTGAAATGCGTCGAAACAGCAAAACAGTTTTGACAAACCAAACAGGACAGTGCTTTGAAACAAAGTGAAATAACGAAACAAAACACTGTCCCTTCAAAACAGACTTCAGAACAAAACGATGGTGTTTCACAGAGCCCTAATTTCTACCACTTGGAGATTTTGGAACGTCTACTGTTTGTTGATAAGCTAGGCTCAAAACAATGGTATTCTTAAGAAAAGCTCAATATTTGCAATTAATATGAGAGCAAAATCTTCTATGGCATGCTCATTCCCTGAGATAATGTAGTTCTCCTGGGCTCTGCAGCCTTATAGATTCATAGATTGTAAGGCCAGAAGGGACCTGTGGGGAGCATTGGGTCCAGCCCCCTGCACCAAGCAGGAAAGACAACTGGGGGTCAGGTGACCCCAGCAAGGGGACTGTCTAGTCTCCACTTGAAGATTTCCAGGGTAGGTGATTGCACCATCTCTGCAGAGAGCTTATTCCACAGTCTGGACACCCTGGCTGTGAAGAAGCTTTTCCAAGAAGTTTTTCCTGATGTTGAGCCTGAATTGATTTTCAGGAGTTTGTGGCCATTACTCCTGGTTTTTCCTTCAGATGCCCTGGTGAACAGTTGCTCACCAAGCCCTTGATATACTCCCCTAGTGTAGCGGCAAGCTGCTACCAGGTCCCCTCTCAACCTTCTTTTCCTCAGGCTGAAGAGTCCCAAATCCCTCAGCCTTTCCTCGTATGGCTTTCATTTTAAGGCTGATCATATGGGTGGCTCTTCTTTGGACTCTCTCAGGCTTGTCCACATCCTTGTTAAAGTGCGGTGCCCAGAACTGGACGCAGTACTCCAGCTGTGGTCTCACCAGTGCTGAGTAGAGAGGAAGAATCACCTTGGTTTTGCTGGAGATGCATTGATTTATGCATGCCAGAGTATTGTTTGCTCTATTGGCTACAGCATTGCACTGCCGGCTCATATTCATACTGTGGTCTATTATTA